GCATCAGCCCTCTAGTCAGATATGGTTAATGCATGATATCCAAATCAGATCGGGAGTCCTTTCGGGCTTGCTTACACCTTCAGGGGAGGGCTGTAAGGAAAGCCCAGGTCTGTATGGCAGAGCAATTACGGGGCTGCCAGCCAGGAGGAGAGGGTAGTTAGTGTTGCCCAAATCTCCAGCGGAGGGCAGTTGGGGGGACCAGGCTGGCAGGGGAGGGCAGTTGGGGGGATCCAGGCTGCCAGGGGAGGGCAGTTAGGGGTAATCGGGCCAACAGGGGAGCAGTTAGGCGTCGATTAGGCTGGCAGGGGAGTGGCTAGGGGGTGATCAGGCTGGCAGGCAGAAGCGGTTAGGGGCAATCAGACAGGCAGGCAGCTGAGTGGTTGGGAGCCAGCAGTTCCGGATTGTGAGAGAGGGATGTCTGACTGCCGGTAGTTGGACATCCCCTGAGGGGTCCCAGATTGGAGAGGGTGCAGGCTAGGCTGAGGGACACCCCCCCCCATCCCCCAGTGCATGAATGTCATGCTCTGGGCCTCTAGTATTATAATAATTTTAATATTCTATGTGTAATTACTTGTGGAATGATCCAGTTCTCTTACAACCACAATAACAACCTATAACCAAACACTGCAATTTCAATATCATAAAAAACCAAGTGTTGCTTTTTCAAAGCCTCTACCTGGGTCTTTCAAAAGCTATTGATTACAGGCTGTGGGTATTTTCTCTTATAGTACAACCTTGCTTTTTTCAGAAAAACAATGTGGGCCTATCAAAATAATAACGTAATATTTACAATATATTTTATGTCAGGTGTTTTGCAGGCATTATTTCATTTAACCACGTCAACAATTTCATGCAAGTTGGTTCAATTATTATTGTTCCCTAGATTTCACAACAATTATGAAGAAAATTTGAACTCTGCGGACTCTAGAGCCCTCTCTTAACTACTATACCTGTGAAAATTCAGGTTCCTTATAATGAGGTTCCTGGGTCAGAATGATGGACTTTTCATTTCTTTGGGTCAGAGAGGACTCACTAGTGGGTAATTTATGTGCTGATTTTTGTTCATGTAAAATTGAATTAGATAATGTATGTAAATGCTGTTATTTTATTTACAGAACTATGGAGATGGGACTCCCTATGACCACATGACCAGCAGGGACCTTGGGTCACATGACAATCTCTCTCCACCTTTTGTCAATTCCAGAATACAAAGTAAGACGAATTTTAAATTAACGTGGCTTTTTTGAATGAATGTTTTACCATGGAAAGGAGAACAAAAACCCAGACAGATGTTCTGTTTTTAGGAAATTGGATTTTTAGTCAGTTCTCTATAGTAATTTTAAATTGGAGGGAAATATTGATAGTCTGTGCTTGGTAATAACACATGAAGAACGAAGTTTCCCTACTATGTGGAATTACAGAATTTCATGGAATCTACGTGGAACATTTTGTCTTCCTTAGATACTAAGCATTTATCACAATTTCAATGATGCAATAGTACTTGTCTAAGTAAAGGTTAATGAAATAAAAAGTGGTGAATACTTAAAATAAAAATGTATTTGTGCCTGCTCATTGGCAATGAGATATCGTCGGTATTAACTGTGAATTTTTATTAATGAGGTTATGGAAACCCCTTTAATAATTCATATAGGTTTAGTATGTTTAAGTCAGAGTAGTGCCTTCAAGTTGAATTGTAAAATCTCGTTGTGTGTTTATCAGGGGGTGAACTACAGTGCTAGTGGTCTAGGCAGGCATCGTCCTACTTCACTGAGAACAAGCTCTGTGTTGTTTGAGACAGTCTGCGAGCTTCTTGCATGCCCTTTCTACTGGTTAGTATAGTTTTCTGCTTTTACTACCCTGTGGGATGTTTGTTTAACAGCAGTAACTTAAGCAATGAAAAGATAATTCATAATGGCCTAAAAGGTCTCAATAGCTGGTTACTTTATTTATGATTGAAAAAATAATATTTGTTTTAGTAAAATGTGAGTTTTTAACAATATTAGTAAATCTCTCAACTTGGCCAAATTTTTTTTTGAGAATCCTCAATAAATGAAGTTGAATTTCTTGGTGCAAGGAAAACATACAGCCATACTTACATCATTCTGAAACCATAATTGCAAATGCTTTTAAAGAATGTCTCTATTTTTAAGCCTTGTATAGTTACTCGTTATTGAAGGGGTAGATAGTCCTTGAATCTGTCTTTACCCCACCCCCTCAAATCACATTAAATTCATCTGAGGAATTTCAGATATTTATCATAAAATAGACAAAGCAGAGAAATACTAGCAATTTATTTTTAATGGGGAATATCATATGTTGTGCCCTTACGTGTCATCCCAACTTTGAGAGTCACAACATTCTCTTTGATCATAGGTTGTTATTCTGTTTGTGCTTTTTTTACGTTAAAATGGTAAATATATAGGTATATGTTTCAACTTTATAGCTAAACCAGGAATCCCAGTTTTTCATCCATTGTTGATAGGAAGGTAGAACACATTTTCTGTTTTCAGGATGCACAGATGCAGATGGCTAGATATTTATCAACTTAAAAGTGAAAAAACAACTTTAGACACTTCAATGACAGTAGTAATAATTTTAAATTCTAATGCCATTGCTTCTCTTTTCATCCTTACCCGACTTCATAAAATAGAAAAAAAATAATTTAAAAATAAAAATCTTGAGAAGTAGCACTTGAAGAGTATATTAAAGAACTTCCTTAGTAGGTTCTAAAACTGTCCAAGGTAAAGTAAGTAAAATAGAATAAATAAATTACGATTTCTATTTAGAAATTCATGTACTATACATTAAAAAAGTTTTCCTAAAGAACAATTTGATAAATTAATATTATAGAATACGTCAAGCGATACAAAGCTAGTAAATAATTGTTGTTCCTTTGTCCTTTGGGCAACTGTTTTAACAACCAAATTCATTTTTCAACCCAAATAATATTTAAAATATAAGCGGGATGATTGTCTAGAGCTAGAAGGGAGAGTTCTTTTCACTTAGCTGTTGTTTAAGCTGAAAGTCATGTCAGCTGTGTTCTTTTATCCCTTCTGCCCTCCTTCCCATTAAACTCTTAAATATGGAGGCCAAGACAGTCTCCTGCATTGTGATAGGAAATGCTACTATGTCCGGAGGCTCCCACCCACTGTTCCCAATGAAAGGCCTTCTCTGTTAGATAAGCTGTCTGGTCTGAAACATGGCTCTTTATTGTTTACAAACTGCTACATTTTCCACCTCAAGCAGATTTTTGCACAGAAAAGAATTGTGCTTGGGCTAAATGGTTTATCTGACATTAACGGTGCAGTGTCAGACTGAGGTCAGGGAAGTCACCCTCAGAGTGAGAGGGCATGGTGCAGTGTGCAAAAAAGGAAAAAGAGAGAAAAAGACATTTAAATAACTATGAAGTGCCTTGCATTTTTAGTTTGGAAAAGAATTTTTAAGAAATAGTTTTAGAGAACTGACTACGATGCTACATTAAAAACTCTTCCCACCCTTATAATTTCTCACATCCCAAACGCCTTCTTGACTGGCTTGAGTATCTCAGAGCAGGATTCGGGAACAAAGATTCTCATTGATTTTGCTCAAGCTGCTGTTTATTTAAAATGAAACCACTTTTGAGATGAGCGATGCTTGGTGTTAAGTTGCATCTTAACAAAGAGAAGGTAGGTCATTTTCAATAAATTAAAGACAAAAAATAAGATCTATTAGCGTAGAGAAGAACAATTTAAACTCATAGAATATATGGTATATTCTAAACTATTCTTTGTGTGCAAGTCCACACTCTGTGTTATGATCTTTTTGGAAGTTCTCATTCTATCAAAAGAAGGTATTAGATTTTAATATAAGTGTTTGCAATATTCCTGTATCCATTCTTAGAATGTTTAGTTTTCATTAATTACAAAGATTTCTTTACATGTCAGAGACTTAATTCTACTATGATGTCACATTAGAGTAAAAGCTATAGCATCAGAAATAAATCAGCCACTTTATTGGACCAGATTCTCTATTGTCAAATCAATCAAGCCTATAACTGAATTAGGCGTCTGCTACAGAAATAAGTGACACTAATTTTACGGGAAAGAGTTATTAACTGCAGATGACCTGATTTTTTTTTTTTTGTAAACTGTTCACTTAGTGAAATTTAGTTTATTACAAGTAAAGAAAAAAGTAATGAACCACTTTCTTCTTTTGGGGGTGAATGAATATTACATATATTGTTCTTTATGGCAGTCCACTATTTTGGAGAAATGATGCAGGAATTGGTAACATTTGCTCATAAACTCTTTTATGCTAATAAAACACTTTATTACAATTCTGAACTTTGATATTTTACACGAATGGTTTTGAATAAATGTTACAGTTTTTGTAATATAATACTTACGTTTGGCAGCAAAATAATAAAATTCGATTTACTTGTGTATCTCATTTATGAAAAATGGGTCATAATTTATAAGATTAATAGAGTGACTCCATTAATTTACTGTTTTAGAAATAAGCTTTCATGTCTGAATATAGTGCCCTATTTAATAGTTTATGAATCCCTGAAGTAAAAATAAACAAATGAACACAAGAGCACTTATTATGCTAGAAGAATTAATGACATTTCTTGGTTTATAACCAAGTTTGCACTCTGTAATTTGAGTTGCCATACAGAGTTTTGGAAGTTGATATTGTGTACATCCTTTAAAGAACATAATTAAAGCAGATAAAACAGCAAGCCCCTAAATTTGTTCTTTGAAAAAATAAGTGTGCATGGCTTTTTGTTTTTCCTTTGGTGTGGGTGAGTGTGGGTGAGTGTGGAGTTTTAAACATCAAGTCACAGAGTTGACTGCCTGCATTGACCAATTGATGGACTCTTATACCTGGCATTTCCTGAGTCCCCGGCTCATTGCTTTCATTTGGTCAGTTTGCATTTTTAGTATGTTTCAATTTCTGTGTCCTTTTTTGTACTGAAGAGAAAGCAAATCACTTCTTCCTTATGACTACTTGTGATTATTAATGGCTAGAGGCCTGGTGCACAAATTCATGCACCAGTGGGGTCCCTTGGCCTGGCCTGCGGGATTGGGCCGAAACTGGCTCTCTGACATCCCTGAGGGGTCCCAGATTGTGAGAGGGTGCAGGCCAGGTTGAGGGACCCCACTGGTGCACGATCAGGGCTGGGGAGGGACACGGGAGGCTGGCCAGGCAGGGAGGTCTCCAGGGCATGTCTGGCCCATCTCACTCAGTCTGGATCTGCTGGATGCCAGTAGCAAGCTAACTTACCCTTCAGAGTGTCTGTCCCTTGGTGGTCAGTGCACATCATAGCAACTGATCGACCGGTAGACTGTCTGCCTCCTGGTGGCCAATGCATATCATAGCGATTGATCGATTGGTCCACTGTCTGCCCCCTGGTGGTCAGTGCAAGTCATAGCAAGCGGTTGAGCAGCCTTAGCATATCATTAGCATGTTACGCTTTGATTGGTTGAACGGACGACCAGATGACCAGACACTTAGCATATTAGGCTTTTATTATATAGGATAATACTGTATACCTGACCTGTTGGAAACTTGTTTGCTGCAGTTTTAAGTAGTTAGATGAAACCTATATAGGTGGTCAGTGGGTGGCTTTCAGAATAAGTTCCTCAGACCGAGAGGCAGTGGGTCTGAGTCTTGTTTTTAAGAGAACTGTATGCTATGGAATAGTTTGAAATTCCTGGCAAGAACTATATGCAGAGAGTACGTATTTTTAAAACTTTACTGTTTGTTTTATTTTTGCCAACATTAAACTTTTGTAGGTAATTATTTGTCCAAATATTTTTACAGTAGTATACAATATATTTTCCAGCTAAAACTTTTTGATCTAAGGAAGGATCTTAGGATGCATTTTCCTTTTATTGTTCCAGAGCCTTAATTGAAAACCAGATTGTTTGAGCGAACAAGTTGCCAATAAGATTATAGACATGCATTTGGTAACTGCAGGATGTGAAAAGTGATACTTTTGTACGGTTGGGTGCAGCTTAGTTCAACATCAGCTGCTGTGTTTTTACATGTCCCTTTGTGAATGGTTCGGTTTCCTTATTGTGGTATTTGGTTCTCATCCCACTAATGGTACTCTCTCTATCAGTGCACTAAGTAATTTCCCACTATAGAGTCACTGGTTTCTAAAGTAGCTCAGTGGAACATTTTACTGCAGGAACAGATCTAGGTTTCAGGCACAACTGAAGAAAGCT